GTGAGTATACATTGTCTCGTTCATCTATTAACTATGTTCCTCTGCAGTGTATCCAATTTACCCTCTATTGTGTACTATCTTACACTCTTTTACACTATTCTGTACACTGCAGTGCGCGAAAATGCTGTATTGTGTACTATTTTACACTATCTTACACCATTTTACACCATTTTACACTATTTTACACTATTTTACACTATTCTGTACACTGCAGTGCGGGAAAATGCTGTATTGTGTACTATTTTACACTATCTTACACCATTTTGCACTATTTTGCACTATTTTACACTATTCTGTACACTGCAGTTCGGGACAATGCTATATTGCGCTGCACTGCAATGTATTGAATTGTATGGTGCTTTGATGTATTAAAATATATACTAAATACACCATACTATATATTACACTATATGAAAATATATTACACTATACTAAAATACGTAGTGTAGTGTAGTGTAGTGTAGTGTAGTGTAGTGTAGTGTAGTGTAGTGTAGTGTAGTGTAGTGTAGTGTAGTGTAGTGCAGTGTAGTGTAGTGTAGTGTAGTGTAGTGTAGTGTAGTGTAGTGTAGTGTAGTGTAGTGTAGTGCAGTGCGGTGCAGTGTGGTGTATTACTGTGCATTTCAGACAGGCCATTGCAAAACCTTACTATATCTCGTACATCGTAGAACACGGGGCGACATTTTGTGCCTTATTCCCTGTTGCTTTTTGGACGATTTTTATGTTTTAATTCAAATATACGCATCCTATGTTTACATGTCGTGGGTTTCTTTTATAACAACGGGCAAAATGACGTTTCATATTATTAAAAAAACATTGAAAAATAAAATGTAACCTTCATGCCGTTTATTCATCCCAAAGTAGCACCGCGCAAATATTTTTTTTAAATTAACTAACATTTATAAACAACTGTAGATTATTAACTCGTGCGACCTTGAATAGAGCGGACTGCGTAGACTAGCGTTGACTGCATCAACCGATACTGGCCGTCGAATCACATCTTTGCGTTTTTCGCGACTTCTGAAAGGCCGTAGTTTAATATCGCCAAGCTCAAGCTCTCTCTCTCTCTCTCTCTCTCTCTCTCTCTCTCTCTAGCGCTAAGAAGAAACTTGAGTTTTAATTGAGAAAAACCCTGTGAGCCTGCCTCGGCCTGCCGACTGCATCTTTGTATGCGCGTAGTGTGGCATAAATTTTCATTAATTTCGTCCGATAAGTAACCCCAGACAATCCGCGCTGAGCGAGTTTTTGATATCGTCTTAATTTAGGAACAATCGTTGAGCGGGAATCCTTCGGCGGCCGCGCGTGCCTCAACTCTGCTGAGAGCTTACGTTGGCGTTTCGTTAATTTATCGAATTTATCTGCATGTGTCTTCGGGGGGAAATAGAGGAAGAATCGTGGTTGGCCTAATTTAATTGCCGATGCCTACATTTGTGTCCGCACAAATGAGCGCCCCTAACGAGCAAATGAATTTTGCTAAACTTTATTTGTAAACCTCCGGATTAGCATTTCAAATAGCTCGGGGAAAAATCGAAGTCTATTGCCTGTTATATAGGGAACATTTCGCATCGGCGACTTGTTTCTTGTTAGGCTGTGTCACCGGCTATGTACGGACCAAATCTGATTTGAATTCCAATTTTCCACCAGTCATTTCCGGCCCTATTATCGCGTGCGTCGAGTGATGGATATGACAAGAGTCAGCAAAAACGAGATTTCTTGGCGGGGGAAAAAAACCACACGTGAAAAGAAACATTCGTTGTTTTTTTTATCGTCCAACTCCGGTAACGCAATAATGTGCAAGCGCGTGGTTTTCACAATCCGGGTATAATACCGTAATACTGCCGCAGCACGATAATGAGCAGTGGAGCTGTAACGACGTGTCAAACGCTATTGCGTATTATTATTGATATCGATTCTCGGAGAGATTCGAGGAAAATTATTAAGAACAACGTTAATGAATTACATTTCTGCTGCTGCTGATGATGGCGGCGCGGAGTAAAATCTCTGCAGCGGAATTCACATCACGAGGAGTAGAGTGCGCATGCGCGAGCCTGTCTGCTCTGATTAATGTCCACGCAATTGCCTAAATAGTTGCTGATCAGATTAGACGCCCTCTCCAGACAATCGAAACACAGTGCCGAATGCATTACGATGTGATATATATGATATCAATAATAAATATTATATATATATATATATATATATAGTAAGAGAGAGAGAGAGAGAGAGAGAGAGAGAGAGAAGAGAGAATGACATAGGCAGACACATACAGACGCACGTACGCACGCACGCACGCACGCAACGCACGCACAGCACGCACGCACGCACGCACGTCCGCCACGCACAAACACACAAACACACACACACACACACACACACACACACACACACACACACAGCACACACATAACCGGCACACAGACATACACGCGCACACACACGTACACACACTCGCGCGCGCACGCACGCACACAATCCAGAGAGCGGAGCATTCGAAGAATACCACGAAAGGGAGAGAGGCTGCAGAATATAACACACCTACATAATACATAAGAACAGTTATGCGCGAGAAAAAACTTATATCATATTAAAACTTAAATTATATGATCAACCTATATCAAAATATCACATATCAGTAGAGGCGGTGCTGTGCGGTTATTCCGATAGCCCACACGATCAATGGCCACCTATAGTGTCAGCATTGTGTGACAGCTTCATAAATGTTGAAAGGCACCGAGGCAGTAGTTTGGGTGTCGTTCCTCGTCGCATCAATAGATGTTGTTGGAGCTAATCATGCGATGCATTGTTTGGACGGAGTTCCGTTGTTATGTGGTTGTTACCGGTGTACGTACGCACGCATACACACGCATGCGCGTGCGCGTACACGCACGCATATACAACAATTCGCGAGTTAATTGTAAAATAGATCGATGATCTTGTATCTACGTGTGTGTGTGTGAGTGTACGTGTGTGTGTGTGTGTGTGTGTGTGTGTGTGTGTGTGTGTGTGTGTGTGTATGTGTGTGTGTGTCTGTCTGTCTGTGTCAGTATGCGTGTGTGCGCATGCGTCTGTATGCGTGTGTGCGTGCGTCTGTGTGCGCGTGCGTCTGTATGCGTGTGTGCGCGCGTCTGTGTGCGTATGCACCCGTCTGTCTGTGCGCGCGCGCGCGTGAGTGCGTGTTTTTTTGCAATCTTCGCTAGCTCGGATGCTGTAACCTCCGGGGATTACAGAAACTGCGCTCGTCGCGGGTAAACTGTTTGCACAGGCTGCTGCTCTCCGGGCGCAGGCCGAGGCTTTTGAGATGTAAATTTTCAGCGGTCCCGATCATTTCACGTGAAACAACTATGAGGCAAGATATAACGTATAGAGTATAGACGCAACGCGCGGTCTATTAAACGATTGTGAATTTATGCAGCGGTGGTGGTGTGTGTGGGGAGGGGGGGTTGTGTGTGTGTGTGTGTGTGTGTGTGTGTGTGTGCGTCGTGCGTGTGCGTGCGTGCGTGTGTGTGTGTGCGTGTGTGAATGCGTGCGTGCGTGCGTGTGCGCCGCGTGCGGTGCGGTTGCGCGGTGCGGTGCGGTGGCGGTGGCGGTGCGGTGCGGTGCGGTGCGGTGCGGTGCGGCGGTGCGGTGCGGCGTCGCGGTGCGGCGCGGCGCGGTGCGGTGCAGTGCAGTACGGTCTTCTTTTGTGGCTAACGCTCTCCGTTTTAGTATTCCTGTACCACTTGCTCCCCCGCAACGGAGACGAGAGAGGTTGCCTATAGCGTGATATCTGAACTAGACGTGGCGGTAATAATACACGTGAACGTAATTCCCTGTTTCGCTCGCTAGTTGGAAGTCTATACAGAATGCCAACTACGCAACATTTCGCGTGCCCGCTCAATGAAAGCCTTTGCGCCGTTTTGACCGCATTTGCGTTTTCAACGAAGCCAGCGGGGTGGGTGTTGTAGCAGTGGGGGGGGGCATACAAATATATACGTCTTTGATCTTTCTTAGCTAAAAGCAAAACGGTGGTTTTATCGGTTACTAACTAGACTGCCTGAGCGCAGATTTAACCCTCTTGGCAGTGATTTGCGTTTTTCGGGATCTGACGGAGGCGGGGTTGGTGTGGGGGGGGGGAGCAGTCACGACACGAAGTCGGTACGAATGTATGCTCGTGATTACCCGCATTCGCTCGTGCGGGCTCTAGCGGTGCGCTCATGCATCTCCCACCCTCGAGTGATGTGAATCGATGAGCATGCACGCACGCACGCACGCGACGCCACACACGCACGCACACGCGCACGCACGGCACGCACGCACGCACCACGCACGCACGCGCGCGCGCGCGCGCACACACAACACACACACACACACACACATTCACACACAGAGCGAGAGAGAGAGAGAGAGTGAGAGAGAGAGAGAGAGAAAGAGAGAGAGCGAGAGAGAGAGAGAGAGAGAGAGAAGAGAGAGAGAGAAATAGAGAGAGAGGGAGTAAAGACGCGAAAGAAAAAAATCGCGAACGGAGAAAGTTATCCTACATTTTCAGCGTGGCCCGCTATATAGACCGTGTGTGGACCGCATCTCACCGCATATCGCCCGCGCCTTCTGGCATCGTCTGTCGCCGCACTGCCACGTGACCAGCTACAGACAAGATGGCGTCGGCTCGCTTTGTCTTGATCAGCGCCGCAGCAGCAGCAGCAGCAGTAACGAGATTACACACAATGCGACGTTATATAGCGAAGCTGCTGTTCTAGCGAGATCGCAGATGATATATACTCGCCGCTATCTATATAGCAAATGTTAGCTATCCATTTCGCAATGGTCGGCCCTCGCGACGCCGCTGCTTAGCGGAAAGACGTCCGACTCGAACGCAGACGAAAGATGATCTAATAGCAAACACGAGCACGTCTGCCACTTGTAGTTACGAGGTCGAATTCCAGCGATCCGGTGTCTGGTCGGTATAGAATTGTTGCGCGAGCGTATACGGCAACGGATGGCCCAACATCGTCCGCGTGAACACTTGA